TCTATCAAACCAATAACAAATTTAGGGACCTCAATGCATCTAGCTCGCTTTGGAAGTGTGTTTTTCTTCACAATTCCTCATCCATAGATGTTACAGAAATCTGTTCTCGTTAATCGGTGAATTAATTCATAGATTAACGATTGGATTAATTAACGGACTAAATTATCGTTTTACTCAAGCTGCTATTCATTATTCTATTAATTATTCTTTTACTGAGGCCAATTGTTGTAGTTTTTGTTGTTGTTGTTGTTGTTGTTGTTGTAGTTGCTTTTTTAAAGGTTTTTGAAGCATGTTGCTAAAGAAAACAGTCCATAATACATGCAACTTACAATTCTGCGATTGGAATTGAGCACTTATAAACCGCAAATATAAAGACACACAAACTGTAAGATATTACGTTGTTTTCTCACCTGACATTGGTCCTCATGAGCCGGTCGTACTGATCAACAGGCGCTGTCTGTATACTGCCCAACGCTATGATGCCTGCATTGTTTACCTGGATAAAAAAAAAAGTCAGGTTCTTATGGCTTGCTTTTTTGCGTGCATATTTGTTTGGATCATCGTTTGCTTCGTTTTGTTGAGAATATGTACGCATGAGAGTGTGTGTGTACGTGTGTGTATGAGTGTGTTCTGGGTGGGGTAGGGAGAAAGATAGAAAGACAGACTGTATGACTGGCGAAAACAACACACTATTGGTATAGTTCTTAAAGAAAGTGCACTATATTTGGAATTTATTTTGTTTTCAAGTAGGGCTATACAATATATGTCCCAAAAATTACGTACCAGTTGCCTTCTCGTAACTGAAATATACCAGGACAAACAGTACAGCAGCGAAAGCAAGCCACTGGCCGATTGCAAGCAGGAAAAGGTCAAGCGACGTCGCTGCCCATGTCAAAGTGTAGGGTAGGGAGAAAGAAAAAAAGACAGACTAAAGAGACAGACAGACAGACACACACACACACACACACACACACACACACACACACACACACACAACACACACACACACACACACACACAGAGAGAGAGAGAGAGAGAGAGAGAGAGAGAGAGAGAGAGAGAGAGAGAGAGAGAGAGAGAGACAGACAGACAGACAGACAGACAGACAGACAGACAGACAGACAGACAGACAGACAGACAGACAGACAGACAGACAGACAGACAGACAGACAGATAGACAGGCAGGCAGACAGAAAGAGAGAGAGAGAGACAGAGAGAGAAAGAGAGAGAGAGAGAGAGAGAGAGAGAGAGAGAGAGAGAGAGAGAGAGAGAGAGAGAGAGGGAGGGGGTAGAAGTGACACAGATGCCTACATTAAGGTAGACAGGCACAGGAGTACAGATACACAGAACACTATCGTTAATATCGTTGATATCCTTTGCTCTTGTGTTTTGGTAAGAAAAAACAACAAAAGCTCATCGACACAATAACGGTCATTTAGAGCAGAGAAAAGAGCAAAACAGACTTACAGAAACAAGAGTGGAAGGAAAAGAAGTACGTAAAATCTACCAAACGAACTAAATTGATACCACGAGGCTTACCAGAATATCCAAACGCCCGTTATGAGCATCCACTGACGACTTGAAAATCCGTTCCGTGTCTCCGTCTACCGTCAGGTCACCAACGGCCAGCAGGGGCTGAGAAAAAAGGACAAGGTGAGAAGGGGAGGGAGAGGTAGACATAAGTTTTGAGTTTGAGTTTGAACCGCATGCGGTCTTGGACATAGATTTAAGGGAACAGGATATACGTGCGCAGGTATCATGCTGCACTACAGTGCCGATGGCCCTGGTTCCCCAACAGGATGTTCTTAACTTAGATTGTTCTGAAGAGTTTTTAAGGCTCTCCGCCCATTTGGCTATCGGGGATGGACGTTAAATTCGGAGCTCCCGCTTTTAAAATAGCCTTTCAGTGTTGAAAGAGGTGCTAAACTTTTACTAATGAATTAGGATTCATGCTTTAATGGTTAAGATAAAGTACAATACTAGACCATCATGTTTCGTTATCACCTCTATGGACTTCATCACATACAACGACCACAGCCCGGCATTTCCTGTACCAACTAAAAACTGCCACCCCACTGTGACCCCCACGATGACCCCGAATGATGCACACTAGGTCGAGCAGTTTGAAGTAGGGTTGTAGTGTACTTCAGTTTACAGTTAGCCCATGCGTGACTGACGATTTTCTAGTTAAATATACTCGTCTAAAAAAAAAAAAAAGAAAGAAAGAAACGCATAATCTAGACCCATACTTTTTGGATCTCATAATAGGTACTCATGAAGTGCGAGTCTTGTTTTTTCAGTATTCAGCAATACGTGTGAGTTGACCTGTATAAAACAATTCACCCACTGTGGGTGCCTGGGGCGAAAACAACACACTATGGGCATAGTTCTTAAAGAAAGTGCACTATATTTTGCATTTATGTTGTTTCCAAGTAGGGCTATACAATATGTGTCCCAAAAACTTCGTACCAGTTGCCTTCTCCTAACTGAAGTATACCACGACAAACAGTACAACAGCGAAAGCAAGCCATTGGCCGATTGCAAGCAGGAAAAAGTCAAGCGACGTCGCTGCCCATGTCAATGTGTCCCAGTCCACTATCAGCCAGCTTTTTGAGCGGTTTCAGCGGTCCAACTCACCTGGCAATACTGACAACAAACCAAGGACCGACGGACTAAGAGCAACCACTCAAACTGAAGATGGTCTCATTCGGACCCGCCACGTAATTAAAGAATCGCATTTTAACAGCTTCGGAGACAGTACCCGACCTTTTGCAAGCTCATCCGCATCTCTGACCAAACCGTCAGGAACCGCCTCCACGAAGCCAGATTACCGGTATATCGTCCAGTTTTGTGGGCATTGCTCACCAATCGACATCGCAAACAGCGGCAGCAATGGGCGACACAACATGATAGGCGCCTCCGAGTTCACCGACGTCGAAATAAGAGATTCGCTACAAGTATCTAAGAGGCCCCAGCACATGTGATGCAGGTGTGATGATGTGGGGAGCTGTCAACCACACTAGCAGGATTTAAATCTGGTGAGGATTCAGGGCAATTCGACTGTCCAGGCCTACATCAACAACGTTCTGACGCCCCATCACAGGACAATGCCAGATCCCATTCAGTCAGGGTCACTAGGGATTTATTAAACAGGAGCAACCAGATTAAAACCCAATAAAGCAAAATTTGAGACATTTTGAACAGATATCCCAGGAACCCCAAATATTTGTTTATTTACAATAGTTATTGATCTGAAAGTAAAATGGGTTTTTTAGCGTACTATGCAGTTACACGTTTATTTGGACTACAGATTAAAAGATAGCGACTTTGCCCTTCTAATGGGTTCCAAGTTAATGAGTGTTTTTGAAGGAGCATGGTCATTCGACATCTCGATTCTTTGAAGTCCACAATTTTTTAATTGGGTTTCACTGTCGACCCTCCCCCCTCCCCTCGGTCTCCCCCTTCTCCTCCTCCCCCTTCTCCCCTGCTAGACCTCAAGGGTACCCAATAATAGGTTCAGGTCAAGATGTATCCGGGTAGTACGTGTGTATAATGTATGTATCATAAACTATAATATTTAAAAAAATATATATACACAGTAACTCACGCCTATGAACCCGGTAAACAATAGATAATAAAGACTGGTTCCAAGACGGAATGGATTCTGAGACGAATTTCAACGGACAAAACTCTACTCGCTGTTTTCCCTTGCTTATTATATGATTCAGTAATGGCCGCAGACAATATTGACAGCGAGGGGAACATATAATAGTTAGCTTTATAACACACACAAGCAAACAAACAAAAACGTGTCGGTGCATGTTTGAGTGATGTGGTTGTTTTGAGTGCAATTTAAGTACAGAGGCTTCGGACGACACATTTGCCACTACAAAATGAGTTGATGGTGTATTATAAGTACGAAATAGGATATTCCGCAAGGGTGTGAAAGTGTGGGGAAATTGATTGTAAATGTGCTGGTTTTTATAAGCCAATCGGACGCTTTAACCTTATCCGTACATCGTGTTTTACTATAGTATACATACGACGTGGGGAACTTTGTGCCACCACTTTCCAAAGAGGAAATTTACTCGTTAATCCGATTCGTTCGCTTTGCATAGCAGTCTGTCAGAATAAAGTTTTTCAGAAATACTGAAAGTTTCAAAGAGATCACCGTACTAGAAGTCTTCTAAAATGTGAAGAATACAACCCCGGGGGTACAAAATGACCCTAGGGCATACGGATAGGACTAATCACGCAAGAGGACCAAATTATTGTATCAATCGATCGACGATTGATTCGTTCGGCAGAGCTAAAACGTATGTCTAAGAAAACGCCATGTGTAAGTGTGCATATAGTGTATAGATTTCATCGCCCACTGTTCCTTCACCCCAATCCGTGCAAGCTATTACGTTAATTCAGCCTAGAACAAAATTATTGCCTGAGCTCAAATCGTGTTCTTAGGCGGATTTCTGTTGTGACGTGTTAACGGATTCCAATGCTCACATTCGTTGGAAATTGAATAAACTTTAAAAAAAGAAAGCAACATTTCTTTTAATCTATCTTCATTTGATACAAACATGTACCGACTCTGCAAACGAAGGGCTGCGTTTTTAATGGCGTCCACAATATACATCTATCTATCATTTATTTATAATATATATACATGGATATGTATGTATAAGGTCGAAACTGTCCAAGACGGCCACACATTGTCCAGGAATATAATGGTTGTCTTGGACAGGTGGGTGCCTTGGACAAAGACATTATGATTTAAAAGAAAATAAAAAAACTTTGGGGGACCAGGGGGGCGGGGGGCGGGGGGCGGGGGTGTTTACTCAGAGGATTGACTTACAGAAGATTCTCCCTCTTAAGAAATGCAAGCAAGAAATGGTTTCTTTACCTTGAGTCCACTTTCAGCCTGGCACTTTTCTCCAACAGCACGCAGGTTTTTCTCATTGCGTCCTGTGAGAGCCAATCTCGCACCCAAGCGAGAGAACAGGACGGCAGTTGCTGCTCCGATTCCGGAACTGGCACCTGGAACAGGAAGAACACACGCCACTGATTAATTCCTTAGTGCGGTCAAAACTTCGTGGCGCAACGTATCGTCATATTATTTCTTTAATGGACGAATCAATGTGAATCTGAGGTAGCATACTCAGAATAATGGCCTACGACACAGCTCAACAATGACACGTTTTAGTTGAAAAACTTGTCACAAGAAATCAATTTTATAGTGAACATTTTTTTTTTGCTCTAAAGATTTTCAAAAACAGGTGTTCAAATAGCATAATTTCGCCATTATATGAAATGGGGGACTTACTTTTAAAAGCGATATGCCCCAGTCGTAAACCTTTTAAAATCTGTAGAAACCACCCACTGAGATTTTTTGTAAGTAGTTATTAAGGAACTTTCTAGAATACAGCTAACAGGTGTTTATACAATGATATCGATCTGACCTTACCTGATACAAGTTATTGTGCAAAAGCTGGAGATGTTCAATAGCCGAGGAAATATTTGACAATAAGTTGAGCCCCGAATTTTTGACCGCACTATAAGCTAACCTTTGATTAGTTCTAAGTTTATTTTTTGAAAGTGTGTATTTGTCTTGACGACTCTCGTCCTGGCAACTCTCGTCCAACATAAAATGATGACGTCAAACCTAGACCAATGTTACCTTTGACAGCTCTTCAAGCCTCGCCGACTGGGAGCAGCCTAATGCAAAATTACGAGAAAATCGTAGATTGGAAAACAAACTTCCTACAAAGTCTAGTGCGTCTCAATTACCCCAAGCCTCGCGAACGCATAAAGCCTTAGTAACCGACCTTGTTTTCTGCCACGGTGGGCCAGCAGATGGTCTACTCACAGATGAGACCAGCTCCTCAACTCATTTTTTTTAGTAAGTGTTTTACGGCGCTCGCGACTGCATAAGGTCATATGAGCGCGCGCGACACATTAAACTTTTTCAGTTGGTAGGAAATTTTGAATTTTGCCTGGGTGGCGGTCGAAGTCTACTCTTATTGATTTTGGACCACCAAGGGGTCTTTAACGAGCGCAACTTGCACACGGCCCTCCGAGATTTTTCGCCCTTGTCCGGGAAAGCTAGGTGTAGATCTTTCCTACCAGAAGATCAGGGGTGTGGCTGAAAGACAACAGTAAGTAGGAGCCAAGGAGTAGCAGTAGAAAGGCTGAAGAAAGAGTCAGGAGCCCAGCGGAGGGGACAAAGGAGGTGAGGGGCTGGGGGCAGAAAGAGGAGACGAAAGCAGACGACAGAACATTGTTAGAGTGCAGGAAAGGAGGTGAAAGGAGACAATTTTAAAGAAGAAAATTTTCGATCGTTACCCGGATTCGAACCCAGGACCTTTGAATGAGAGGCCAACACCTTAACTCTAGGCCACGAGAGCCAACTGTGTGTCTCTGTGTCTCTCTTTCTCTCCCAGTCCCCTTCTCTCCCTATCCCTCTTCCCAACTATCAAGATGAAAACGTGCTTGATTTCTGAGCTTGAAAAATAAGGGCCTTTTGTATGGAACTTCGCCACGTTGTCAAGTGAATCTAGTAGTCATCGCAATTAATTGATGGTGAATGTCTTTTGCCCATATTGGCATAATTTAGGTTATTTATAGTGCAGTCAAAAATCCCTGGTGCAACTTATCCTCAAATATCTTTAACAGGTAAACCAATGTCCTCCATACTTTGCACAGCAGTTTATATCAATTTGTCTGAACTTAATCATAATTTTCAAAATTCGAAATTTCTTACCAACTGAATAAAGTTTAATGTGTCCCGCGAGCTCATACGACCTTATGCTGTTGCAAGCGATGTAAAACACTTACCAATTTAAAAAAAATTAACTGAGGCTAGATTTTAAAAGTTGTCTTCATAAATTTATATAACATACAATAAATCTCCATAATGCGAAAAAATGGGATTGTTCACAGCACTTCCCGCTTCTCATTCATATTTTGCATACGCATTAAGGCTTACTTCACAACTCATCAATGACACATTTTAGTGGTAAAACTTGCAACAACAACAACAAAATTCTAAAGGGAACTCGTTTTTGCACTAAAGGTTCCCAAATCATGCGTTTTATCAGCATAATGTTGCGATTAGAATAAAAAGACGGACTTGCTTTAAAAAAACAGCGATGTTGCCAGAGCTGTAAACCTTTTAAAATCCGTAGAAACCACCCACTTTAATTCTATATTAGTATTTATTATGGAATTTTCTAGAATACAGTTAACATGTGTTTACAAAAAATTGACCAGTTAAGACAAATTGGTACAAGTCATTATGCAAAACCTGAAGAGTCGATGTTCGATAGTTGAAGAAATATTTGACGATAAGTTTCGCCTCGAATTTTTGACCGCACTATAGAAGGCATTTATAGTGCATACTATTTAAGAGATTGGCTCATCTTCTTTAGCCCAAACAGTACCAGCCCACCTCCTTCCTCCTTTCTCACCCCCCCCTCTCTCTCTCCCTCTCTCTCTCTCTCTCTC